CATCGTCAAACAAGAGAATAACCAGGCGAGCGCGCTGATTGGAAACCACACCAGCGGATTTGCTTACGTTTTCAAAGCAGCCCCGGGATGCCGGGCATCGCATGAATAGATTGGCCCCGTGAGTGACAGGTTGGCCTGGTCTTGCATGTTTGAGGTGTGTTGCGAACAACATCGGACTACTGGAAAAGTCCAAGCTCAAGCCGGGAGAAAAAAAAAAAGAGAGACAAGGCTGGATCCTGATCGGATTGCTGAGGTGGCTTTGGTGGCCACCACAAACCCTGTCTTATTAACAAAGCAAGCCACGCCTGTGCAGCTGAATATGTGGTTGAGTTGCCTCATGCAAAAGTTTGAGTTTGTACGGGAGCGTGGTACCCAGTTCGCTGCACGGCAAGAACGTGGGGGATCTCCTCCGCCCCGGTCCAGCAGAGACAGTGACACTTGATGGTGCAGCAAGTCTGTGGTAGACTGAGTCTCAGGTCCGTGAGCCATGCTTGTGTTTCTCGTGATCTCTCAGCCGCGGAGGTTAAGCATGTAGCGGAGAACGACGTGAGCCACGTCTCCATACTAGCTATCGTCTTTTGGGGCAGAATGTGGGTTTGCTCAAGCAAGGAATGCCTTCGACTCTTGAACATTCGAACAACGTTGCCGAGGAATGCTGGCTCGGTTGCGTCCGCTGTTGATTTCGGGGTTGGCTGGAGAGCCGAGTCACACGCTCCGAATATCCCCTCAGTCCGCCATGGGAAATGTCTAGCTGCTCCAGGATGCCTGCATCGGGATAGTAATTAGGTGTTCCGAGGATCACCAAACGCATGCCAAAGCTTGCCACGCCGACTTACGTGTTGGGTGAGTTCAGACCAGTAGGTTAGCTGGCTTCTTGATGCAATTCCCTCGACAACAGGACGTTTCTGACTAAATGCCTCAAATCGATATTGCAAGTCAAACGCACGCATTCCCCGAATGGATCGCCAACGGCGGTCGCCTAAAGGTCTGACGTTGGATGCTATCGCATTGTCTGGCTGTGAGTGAGTATCGATCACTTCCGGTGTTCCTAGGAGGGAAACCACGATGCCTTCCAACATGGGCATGGCGTCTCTTCTCGAGCTCGAATACGATAATGCGGTATCGCCAGGAGTAAGAGCAGTAGACGATCCTGCGAAAAGTCCCATTGGTAGAGTCCAGCCGCGGGGATGCTGAAGTCTCCGTTGTCCAGCGGAGACGTAAACAGCCGGTCCAAGTCAGCTAGTATCGAGAACTCGATAGAAGCCGGCATGCAAACCCTCAGAGAGCAACCACATCTATAGTGTCGAGCGAATCAGAGACGAAGAAGTAGACCCCAAGCTGTTATGTCTCAAAGCACAGACGACGGCGTGGCTCCGGCAGCGAGCTTAATCCCGAAAGGCCAAGACAATATGAGCGCTAATCTGCGTGAAATCGAGCGCATACCTAGATTGACGACCTAGCCACGTCGGATTGGTTGGCTTGCACCAAGCCCATGCAACAGGGGCATGTGGATTTCGACCGCCACAAACCATCTGCACTGTGACAGCCTGGCTGACTCAAGTAAGTCAGCTCAGGACGATGTAGTGATGGCGCGATATGAGGCCATACCGGTATTAGTTCTGGTACGGATCGCTCTTGGTCTGCGGGGGACGGGACGCAGGGAGAAGAAGTGCTTGACGGGCGTCTGCAGTGTGAATGTGCTAGACACCAACGATGCCGAGAAAAAGCAATTATGGTGTCGGTGGTAAGGTAAAAGAATTGGTGGTGGTTTCGGGGATCGCTGTCAATGAAATCATTTCCGTTCCTTGACCTGGTGAAGACCCCCAGCTCCACGTTTGTTTGAGTGAGATGGAAGGGCACCCCCAGAAAAGCCGAGATTGGGTATGCGCACCAGCATCTAGGTCTTCAATATTGCGGAGGTCGGATACGGATGCCTTCGGTGCAGCCTTGTTCTTGAACACGGAGCGGCATCTTGCCTCATCTAGATTGAAGGATCAGCAGCGGACGAGGGAGTGCGGCCCTGCGTGCTGACTGCCGTTTCACAATCGAGTCTCGCTTGAGAGCTCCCTGTGTACGGAGCATTTGACGGTCCTTTGCCCTGCACCGGGACACAGACAGACGGAGCTGAGGCTTGTGTCGCCAATCAAGTGGGTTCCACGATGACTCCTCCCTAGACTCCGTGGCTGGAGCGCCTGCGAGCTTGTCTCGAGCGGCAGGACGTGCGTGCGTGCTCAAGCCATTCGCATTGTGACTTGTTGGACGGAATTCGGATGGTTGGAAAATAACCCGAGATGTTATTGCTCCCAAGAGTTGCCGGCGGAGGAAACGCAGCCGATTTTTGTCTTGCAGTGTCTGGTAGCAGACGGCGGCTGCTGGGATACATTCTTCTATTCGTGTTTGTTTATAACGCATCGGTATATCTTCGTCTTTGATAAGTGTATGCGTGTGTTCCGCTTCCCGCTATAGGCGATAGGTAGTCACAGTGTTTGAACACTCGTAGGTATTTGTCTCTCCCTCCGCCACCATCTCAGCCTGCTAGCTGTTGTCCATTGCTCCTTAGGCACGGTTGCTGTTACTGGCTCCTGGGCTCTTGCCCATCTGATGATGGCGATGCTGACCACGATGCTTGGCCCGGCTGTTTCTCGTTTGCAGTAGCGGACACACTTGGCGCCTGGAACCGGGTTGGCCAAGTTGGTCCTGACTGGGAATGAGAAGGGCGAGAGACAAACAAGGTTTGGGAATGTCGCAGAAGCGAACCGCTGCTCTTAGCACGGCGTATTATTAACGTGGTGTTATACCGGGGCCGTCGCCATGTCGGTGATACGTGTAATGCAGAGAGCGAAAGAGCGTGGGGTATCCGAAGGATAGCGTCGCAGAGATTCGAATAGTCGGGATGATATTCCCAGGGTAAGACTGAGATTCAGTATGTATTGGTACGAATATGGGCAGGGACCGACGACGGACAAGGGCCAAGGACCGAGCTGCAAGCCTTGAAGTTGGACGGGCGGACCAAGAGTTATGGAGAGAGGGAACGAGTTGGACGATGAGATCTGACAGATGCGCTAGCCCGGCTGCGGTAAGCGTTTTCCGTGATCGATGCAGTTCCTGCAGACCGCTTGTTTCTTTTCTCAGATTGATGGCCTGAGGCAGCATGAGCGATATTCAGGCAGCTACTGGTCATTGGTACACTATGCATGGGAAGGGGGAGGAAGCATCCGGTGGGACCGCGGCAGGAGTGGCAGGGAACAGGAAAGTGAGGCAGTCACGGGCTGGCTGAGGTGGATCTGTCACGTGATCTATACGTACTCTATTCAAGACCCAGCGAGAAGCTGGGAGGGCGGCAACCAGCCACCAGCACCAGCCACCAGATAGCCACCGGTCGTTACCATCTTGCAGTTGCCTGCGCCTTCTTTTTGTCCCTCCTTCTTCCTCTCTGCCCCTTCCCGTTCCTTGAATCCTTCCTGCAAGTGTGACTTCAGACCGGAGAGGGCGCCTTGTTTTCTGATTGGTCAAGAAGGCTAATGGGATAGTCTGAAGTAGCACATGATTGGTTAGAGAATCGATGGGGCGGGGTGGTAAGGAAGGAAGGAAGGAAGAAACTCCAACGAACACCAAGAAGAGTACCCAGAGGAAGGACCTAACTACCTAGCTACCTGTCTCCATCGTCATCTTCCTCAATCTCACCCCTTGCAGGACTGCACATCGTCTTGCTTCTCGGTAGTATGCTGCGATTCTCTCCATCACAATCAGTGGCTTGCGGTCGGACGTCGTAGCCGTGCTCGGAGAGTTTCTGTTACTCTTACACTCCGCTGTCTTCGGATATTTCGGTCTGCTTACGGTTACAGTGTCGCATAGACAAGCAAACCATCGTGATCGACGAGAGAACCACTTTCACGATACTAGGGACTGGCCTACGGATACACTATGTTCCTCCTGGACTGTCATCGCAGGCTCCATCGAATCCCAGTCTGACATTATCACATCAAGCTCGCTACCAATCGACCGGCCTCCATCTTAGCAGTGGCATCATAGCCTGCCACACCACTATGAAGGAGCGCATCATGAATGATGAGTCTCTGTTTGACCAACTTCCTGAGCGGAATCCCGTCTCACCGTCCATCTACCGCTAGGCGGCACGAGTAGTTCGACCGAAGAGACAGACGCCCGTGGAATCAAGACTTAGACTCTGCCTGGACCAAAACCCAGAGCCCGGGAGGCGCGCGCTGGTTGCTCTGCTCAGCTGTGCTTGCAAACTTGCCGATGGCCACACTGGCGGGGGAGTTGGGACTTCACAAGTTCACACACACACACAGACGATGCTACACTGCATCGTGAACCACGGGCGCTATGCTACAACTGGACGCCCGAAATTGCCTATTGGGCTGGCGAGATCAGCCTCTGCAGACCATTATATGGGCCCCCCGTGGCCCCTTCACCATCATGATCCATCATGATCCATCATAGCTCCGTCGTCGACAGCCTCACTCGTCGGGAGCTTGCGCCCAGGGACCCCTGTACAGCGACCCCATCAAGTCGTTACGAGGCTGCTCTCGCTCGCCTGCAGCCTCTGCATTTCTTCCATTCCCGAATCGCCCGGACTGGCCAGTGGCACGCACACATGGCCCATGGACTACGCTAGAACGGCACAAGGTGACAAGACTCCAGAGACGCTGCCACTGCACACCACACAGACCACATACTTTTTGACACCACACCATCACGACCATACCACCCATGTCTTGTCGACGTTCGACTCTCTCTCAAGTCTCACCCTCACTCTCAACAACCAGCTCTCTCTTTCGCGGCTCGCCTGCATCGCTGTGCCAGAATGACACACGATCCTGGCCTCAGGCATGACTGCTTCAACCTCAAGCAACCCTGACAGCGAATCAACCCCAGCCAGTCCCTCCCCGTTCTGCCCGTTTACCGCTCCGAGCCACACAGACGTGCAGCATATTGCTGCAGACTGCAAAGACCTATGCACCATACGCATCCAAGCAATGCAGCGTTGCGGCGTTCATCAAGCCTGGATTGCGGCGTGCAGCGTCACGGCGTGCCTAGGATCAAGTGTACGGCAGACTCCAGAGAAACGGAAAAAAAAAGAGAAAAAAAAAAAGAGAGACCTCACAACATCAATCTGCTTGTCCATTCAGCGCCCGGCACGCTCAGGTTGCTTATCCACTTTCTTTTCATGGAACTCAATCCTGGCCCGCCCATTCAAACGGTCGTTCGCAATCTCAGGCCCATGTGCGACCCATGACCACGTTGGCCGCCGTCACTGGCCGGGATCAAAAGCCCATTCCAGAGGCAAACCGAATCCTCCTTCGCCCGCCCTGAGTCTCCACACGCACCGAGTCCAGGCCTGCTGTTCCGCTTGCTGCTCCGTAGATGCTGGAGTTGCCGCTGCTTCGTCTCCGGCCAAGCTGGCCACGGGCACGCGAACCCAAGGCCGACATGGAAAGATTTGGCCGTAAATTTCGAGGCACCACTCCGCAGCTCATCATTTGCAGAGAGGCTACCGTGTCCTCGACTCCGCCAGCCCTTACCTACTGCGTATTCGTACCGAGTCTGAGTGATGTCTATGGCGCTAAATCCGACCCCACGGTCCTGAACCCGCTCTTACACGTCTAATCATGCTCTCAGTCTCGAGTCCACTGTCATGCTCTGATGAGACCTCAGAGGCTCAGACGGGCTCGGATTGACCGGCCAGAACGGCCCACAACCAGTTCGAAAAGAAAAATATCATGGCAATGATCCGTCCGTCGTCAAGCGAACTTGGTCTCCTAATCGAGTCGGCCGCGGAGTGCCAGCAACCAGACCAGCAGACATAGCCAGCCAGCACATAACTGTGCACCCGCAAATGTGAAAACCCCGTCGTTACTGTTTGGCAAAATATGCAGTCTACCCGGCCATTCGTATCGACTCGACCATACACAGTAGGTATAGAGCACTTAGCTCGGCACCAACTACTTCGATAGTCGCTTGTGCAGAACATTACTCATTGGCTCGCCTTACTAGCAGTCATGGAATTGACGCAAGCATCCTAAAGTGCTTCTCAATAGATGATTGGCCGTTTCTATCCTTGTCGACCAATCATGGCGCTACAGGTGATCTACACTTCACAACTGTTGCTAAGAGAGAATGTGTGTGGTGTACGTACTCCGTAGTTGGTGCAGCCACAAGGTGGCCACCAGGTGGAAGATGACCGCTTGCGAAAAATCCGGAAGCCAATCAATGCTCCCGCGAAGGATGGATGGGAAGCGACGGGCATCCTGTGAGCCAGAGCCAGATCTGCTTAGCATTGATCCAGTCACCAGCCTGCGAGGCAGCATCTGCAACAGAAAGGCTGACCGGCCACCGAAGCCCACACTCATCAACTCCCGGACTTTATGCAAACAGCTTGCCAAGCGCCACAAAGGCTCCGACGTCAGCTACGAGACCATGACAGTGAGCCAATTAGGTCGCGGGTGGCACTATTGTGACTGGGCATCCCAAGTCGCCCGCTCTCAGTCGGTGTTTGGCGGTAGTCACAGATTACCCTGCTACCAGCTCTACCCGGTGTCAACAGCGTCTTTTTCGACCTCGAACCACGCGGCATTGATGATAGCTGTGGCTCAAAGTACGGGGCTCTGCAACAAGCCATAGCATACCACGTCGCTAGACCAGGCCGAATACTCCCAAGTCGCGGTGAAGGAAGACGTGTCTCATTCGATCATCGTTCGACTGAGATTCCATGCCCGGTTCCGACGTTCCCCCAAGGGAGTTTTGTTCAAGCGTGAGGCTTTCCTCCATTATCCTACGAAAACGGGGACGTTCGCCCTGCGGCAGGCGAGACAAGGGCAGGCTGGATAGAGAGAAGAATGGAAGAAGCTGCACATCACAGGTCACAGGAGGCCTATGACGATGGCTCACTCAGTATCGCTTAGGGAGGGCGAGCGGTGGCAGCAAGAGCACGGAGCAGTCAGTCACCAACAAGGCACCGGGCCTCTGATTGACAGCGAGAAAGCTGAGAAGGGAAGTGAAGGGAAGGGAAGGGTAGAGCAACGGACAGTCTGTGTTCCCTCCGCCAGGGTCGTCCCATGAGTGCTTAGGGGGCGACGACTCACGCACGCCCCGTTTCTTCGACACCCATCGACCATCCGTTTCGTCTGACACACTCAGCCAGTAGCGGTGGCAGGGGTATATGGAGCACGGCTGGGGGTGGTGGATAAGAATCAACACACGAGAAGTGAGGGGTGACACAGCTCACACCCACTCACACCTCACACCCCCTTGGGACGGGGCCACTTTACCTGGTGCGTCAGACAATACCTGCTCGTAAATTGCGCAGAGACGCCAATCACGACTGCTAGTGGCATCCTGGTGGCTGCTCCAGTAGAGAAACTCTGCCGGTCACTTGTCCACGCCTGGGCACGACCACGCCCCCTTTGGCTTCACGCCCCCTCGGCCCTCTACCTACTGCGTAGCTCCAAGCCAGGCTCTCAGGCCTCAGGCTCTTCTATCAACTCTAACCCACTGGCCCGCTGCTCATGTCGAACTCAAGAATAGACGGTGCATTGGTGGATCCAGGGCTAAGACATGGCAAGCCGCTCATCCCTGCTCTGCTAATATCGAAGACGACTGGGGTGTCCTTGGAGCCACCGGCCATGGTGGATGCTCCACGCAACGCACTTTGACATGGGTACGTAGCCGTAGCGCTAACATCATTTCGCCTCGTTCCTCATCGGGGTGGTGGCAGTCATTATCAACCACCCATATCCCACCACCGTACAACTGGCTCGACCTGTCTCGAGACTTCAATCATCAATTTTTCCACCACGCTCCTTCCCGTCGACCTCTTCACATCTCTTCACGATCTTCGGGAACCTGGAATCTCAGTCGCCCTTCCACCTCCGCCTCACAACAGACACCGACCTTCACCGACCTCAGCTCGCTACCCATCCCGCACCAGGCGACAATTACCGTGTTTGACTCGTTGACTCGACGTCTTGCACTTTCGACCTTTTCTACTTCCTCAGACCGATCCATTCATAGGACTACCAACCCATCTCAGGCCGTAGGATAATAACCCAGGACTATTACTTTGGACTCCCAGGACATACCAACCCAAAGGACAAAGGCCGTTTCTACTTTTTTCTTCTTCTCTTCCACTTTGGATCTCGCCCTCGAGACCCATTACAAACCGCCAGAGAAAGGATTCCCATTTGGACCCGCAAAAATCACATAACATGCAGCATGTATCAGGATTTGGCTATCCCACCCCTCCCGCGTCGCCGGTGTACGACAACACAAAGTGTTCGATCCAACAACCCATCACGACAGCACCTCACTGCCAGGCACGATATGTCCCGCTAACACCAGAGGCGAGACTCGGAAGGTTTCTTGAGGGCAAGTTGCAGTTGCAAACCATTCTTGGTACTGGCGCATATGGCGTCGTGTATTCCGCAGTGGATGTCAAGACCGGAGTCCGTTACGCCGTCAAGTGCCTCAGCAAATTCAACCCAGATGGAACCCCATTGGATCGTCGACAGGTTGCCTTCCAGAACCGAGAGATTCGTCTGCACTACCTGGCGTCGGCCCACCCTAACGTGGTATCGATGCTCAAGATTGTTGATGACCCGGATTGCATCTATGTTATCTTGGAATATTGCCCGGAAGGTGACTTGTTCTTCAACATCACCGAGTGCGGTCAGTATGTCGGGAACGATGACCTCGCCAAGAGAGTCTTCCTGCAAGTATTGGATGCCGTGGAGCACTGCCATTCCCTCGGAATCTACCACAGAGACTTGAAGCCGGAGAACATTCTCGTTTCGGACCAAGGATCAACAGTCAAGCTTGCCGATTTTGGCCTCGCAACCTCATCCGACCGGTCAGAGGACTACGGATGCGGCTCAACATTCTACATGAGTCCAGGTAGGCCATCCACTCCCAGGAATTTTCCTACTTCTATCAAGCCCCCTGAACACCACTAACATGTCGCTTCTTTCCTTTTCTTAGAATGCCTGGATCACTCCGCCCGGAGACCTTTCTACTTCTGCGCACCAAATGATGTCTGGAGCCTCGGAGTCATCTTGGTCAACCTGACCTGCGGACGTAACCCATGGAAGCAAGCATCCTTTGAGGATTCTACTTACAGGGCTTACACCCGATGCCCGGAAACTCTGAAGAGCATCCTCCCCGTGTCGGATGAACTGAACGACATCTTGGGGAGGATCTTCACCCGTAACCCGGATCAGAGGATTACTGTTGCCGAGTTGAAGGCAAGAATCCAGGCTTGCTCCATGTTTACCATCCCGGCGACGCCGACAGCTGTGCTTTCGACTACCCAGGTTCCGCATGAGCATACTACCGAATACGTTACTAGCGAGGACACGATTGTCGACGACTACGATAATGCCCTCTCGCCTGCTTCCTCATCCTCGGACGAAGGATCTACCTGTTCTTCTGACGAGGGCTCGCTCACCTCAAGTGGCTCGACCATCGATGACCTTGATGAGGACTTCCTTCAGGAACAGCAGGAGACTATGGCATGCCATACCCAAACATACGAACCAGAGGATACCGGAGCAACATACTTCTCCACACAGGACTACATTCCTCAACATTACACTGGCCCCGTACCATCCCAGCTTGCTGGACCTGAGTCATTCCGTGTCCAGATGCCTGTACCAACATCGGCTCCTCTTCAGGCTCAACTGCAAGCGCCCAGCTGTCCATCCAAGTCTTTCGTCCAGTTCTGGTGGGGAGATGTGTTGAAGTATGCTCAGCAGGCCCCTGCTATCCATCCCCACGTCCCCTTCCACCACCAGGTTCCCATCTTATCGCACCCTCAAGGCTGCTACTAGGAACAATTATCCGTTACGCCAATTCATGTCCAGGACCACCCTCAATCCTACGTATCCTGGAGGACATGGCGACATCACCTCAAAAAAAAAAACAACTAATCAACGTTCATCCTCGTGGGCCATCCATGAGGATACTTAATTCGTTACGAGACACGTGGACCATATTACCTTTTGGATTTATCTTCCCGGAATGGAATCTCCAAAAGTCGTGCAAAAAAGGACCGGAATTTCTCTACTACGCAACGGCGCTTGTAAACTTGTCGGAGCGGTTTTTTCTTTCATTGTTTATTCTTTCTGTCTTCAGCGCGGAGTTGGGAACTGGAAAGCAAAGAGTGATAGTGTATCGATGTCGAAAACTATGGAAAGCATATCAGGCGCAGACGGGGACAAAGACAAAGAGGCAGGAATTCTTCTCATGATTTTTCTGGGGGGCGGAATACTCTATTCTGACGCATTGATGCGCAAACGGCTTGGGGAAAAGAGCTTTCACAGGGCTACTTTCCTGGCAACCGTTTGGATGATACCAGATTCTTCCTTTTTTTTTTCTTTTTTTCTTTTTTGGGATGTTTTTGGGCCACTACGGGAGAGAGGGACTCTGTTCCTTCAAAGCTGAGGAAAAGACGGTTTAGACAATACCTGGGCCAAGAACCCAACCGTCAGCGGATATGTTCGCTGAACGGAGACTCGAACTAGGACCAAAGCCCTCGAAACGAGTACAGGCTAGGGATAACGACCAGAAAACAACTGGCGTCTACCAATGAATACAAACATTCAAACACCCCAAAACAAAGCTTTTTCACGTGTACCTGTGAATATTTACCACTAATACTGAGAGCGATTTACTCTATCCGAAAAGAGCCCGACTACCGACCTTGCCAAAATGTTGCTTAGCTAAGGCGAAGGTGGTGGTGTTGGTCGGAAGCGGCGGGATGAGGCAGCCTGTGGTTCTCTAACCTTCTACGTAATGGCCTAAAAAGGGTGACATTCTTTTTTTTTTCCCCACCTTCGGTTACGGTTCTTCCAGAACGTCTCGAATAATTCCATTCAGGTTTTACGAGGGAAGAAAAGGTTAAGGGAAACCCTCCCATTCTCCGAGTCTCTGACAACTCTGAGGGATGGTTATTCCCTACTTGAGTAATCTACGGTCTACCTTGTATTCTGTAGTTTAAAACCGCCCAAACGCGCGAGGCAGTGAGGTGGAGGAGAGGGAATGCGAACCCCTCCCCTTCTGAGGATGTGTCCCCCCAAGCCTATTCCTCACAGGCAGGGGAGAGCCATGGTCTTGTTCGGCTTTACTGTGTAAAAGGCGGGTTTGTGTCAAGCGGGCGGTATCCCTGATGAAATGTTCACTTTTCTAGGACTGACGTCCTTCTCTTTTTTCCTATTTTTTTTTTGGCACGCCTTTTGCACGCCTGTTGCCTTGAGGGGATGGGCCTATCTACTCTGCAGGAAGACAATGTGCGCACTTCTGTAAGCGTGCTAGGCGGAATATGGAGAAGGGTGCTGCTGCTCTCTCGCAAAAAAAAAACCTTCATGAGAAAGTGCAGCTTTCGAATGGATTGTGCAACTATGCAAACTGACTTACTGCATGGCAACTGCGTCGCTCCATAGAAAAGAGCACGTTCCAACAGACCAACACTAGAAGGGGGGGGGGGATGAAGATCACACACACTCCAGCTTTTCTTCTTTCTGGCTGTGCCCGCAGTAGTAAGCACGTTCTAAGAAAGGCAGGGCTGTCGAAGGGGGATGGATTCAATGGATCGGTGGTTTCTGGTGGTGGTCACTTCTGGCGCTGATGCCCATTCTCGAAAGGGGGGGCTGGCTGGCCTCGCACGCTTCGCTGTACTGGTTTCCACGATGGTGCTGCAGACATGATTGGACGGTGAGCACTCTGAAAAGATGTGGGAAACGGTCGTCGTTCGCCCTGTTTTCGGTGGTGCGGGTGGTATGGGTGAGTTGCGTCGAGGTGGTCCGTTCCATCTTCCCCTTCCAAGTCTTGTCGTATCCCTAGTTCTCTCCAATCATGACCCCTGTCCCTATAAGTCACTGCCGTAATGAAGTATGGGTAGTGTTATTCTTTTTTTTTTTTTTTCTTTTCTTAATTGTTCTTAGGACCGCAGGTCGGCCCTACCGTGAGCCTTGAGGGCGGAGGTTGATGCCCTCTTTGGGTTTAGAGTGTACGAAGAGGGTTTGGGTTGAGACCGATTATAGCCCTAGTGACCCTGCCAATATTTTTGTTGTATTGTTTCCTTCCTTGGAGCGAAAGTGTGACGGTTCCCACTGCCTAGTGCCAACCTGGGCATTTTTCTTTGGTGCATGGGTCATGGATTGTCACCAGCTTTTGCTGGGAGTGAGATGTCTGAGCAGAGCAGAGAGTCCCTGAGAAGAAGGTTGAGCTTTGGTCGGATTCGGGCTCGTGCCTCGGTGACTGGGGGTAGGAGGGTTCGGGATGGGACGCGCGCGATGTCATGTAGTGACACTAGTTGTACGGATACGGTTGGTTGGAAGCCTTGAAAGGGTAGTAGCACCAGGAAGAAAGGTTGCGGAGCCTTTCATTAGTGCATCCAACCGGGTCGTGTTGTTCAACTTTCCCAACGTTAGGGAATCCCCGAAGATTGGCACACTGGGAGAGAAACTTGGGAAACAGTGAGGTGGACTTGCATGGGGCGTGTTTGCGCCGTTGTCACCTTATTACGCATGCGGCACGGCGGAGGATGGGTTGTAAGGTAGGGACGCCTCGGGCGTTGTGTGGTTTGGGCATGGAAGCGTGTGGGTGGAGCAAAGAAAGCACCGGGCTTGCATTTATGGAATGATGGATGGGAGGCCATGGGCACGGCATGGCACAGCACAGCATGGCATGGCAAGACGCGATAGCGAATCCCATCGTGGTGGGCATGCATGTAGGCAACCCTGTTTGCGATGAGGGTGGCCGAGGCACTGAAGTGTGAGCCAACTAGAAGACGCCTGGAGGAGCGTGTGAGAGGTTGCAGATATGGAGAGATATGTGTGACTAGGTACTCCGTAAGTGTGTGTATAGGTGGCTAGCTTCATTGCTAAACATGCAAGTGTGCTTTTTCGGTGGGAGCCGGCAGCCTTTTTGTTTCTGTTTTATTCCTTCACTTTTGGTCGTTATTGGGTTGCGAGGTTTAGCACTTTACACGGACACTTTCTGAGGCGAATGTGCTGTTATAACTGAGTATATAGCATGTCTCGGTGTGGCCTGATGGGTGGATGGGGCCAAAGTGCTTCCCTCTTACAGTTGGAAGTGTATGGGGTCTTGGGATGACATGTCGTCTGGCTTACACTTCCGTGCTTCCCGCCGCGCCCTTGAGCACAAGGAGGCGTCTTACCGGATGGACGAGACGAGGTGGGGGGCTCTCAAGAGGAAAAAGGGCTTGAATAGGTATAGGCAAAAGACGCATCAAACCACGCGAGAGGGATAGCCAAGCGGGATCATGGGATAGATGAAAAAGGATGTTTGAAAGAAAAGACTGGAATTAGTTAGCGTGCCATGTGCCAAATGTTATGGGTTATGACGATGGAAGACTAGGTAGGGCCAAGTTCACTTATTGAACAAGCCAGACAGAGAAAGACAGAGGGGTAGATCAGTTGGCCAAGAGTATAGCTGGCAGAAAACTCTCTGGTGGGCGGTGGTGGTGGGCTTGGTTTAGCACATATTTGGTGTGGTTGGGTTACTTGCCAGTTTCGCCCGAGAGTCCTTACCCACGATCGCTGAGCCGTGAGTGGCTTGAATCACTTGACTTCCCGCTTGCGCTAGGCCTTGACAGCAAGCAGATGCATGTTCTATAGACTAGCTTACTGGATCTCAACTATGCCGTGGACACGGGTTAGTTCTGACTGATTAGGTAGATGCTGGCGGCTCTCAACTCTGCGGGTGATTTCTCAAACCTTTTCGCATGATGAGGTGATGAGCAGTATGGACATTGGATGCCGACTGACAAGTCTTGAAGGGGCAATTACTGTAGTGAGCGAATCCTGGCCCCACCGTCCCATGATCGCAGCCTGTTTGTGGTGCCATCCACCGGAGTTATTGGAATGACGGAGACGAAGACGGCGGCCGCGGCGCACGGCGACAATGGAACACCCGGCCCGGGGGGGTTGATGGTGTTGGATGGATGTGGAGCTTGATGCGGTGTGGCACTGTCATATTCGGTCTATGATGGAGAACGATAGCATTCCTGGCTGAAAGATCTGCTGATACTGCAGTTGGCGACGCTCTAGACCTGACAAGCGAGAAGCTCGCATTCATCAGTTGGCACTTTACTGGACTTGTTGTCAGCCAATCTCAAGAGTCCGAAGTCTCTCTTGCTGTGTCTATGGTTCCCACCCATCCACACTTTTTCATAGGTTGGGTTGGTCGCTATCTCTACGGGCTCTTCCCCGGTAGACGATCGAGAACTCTATCATTGTCTTGGCCGTCTATTCGTGCCTTTTGGACTGCGGAAACTGTGGGTTATCAACTTATCGTCCTTTTCTTAATCTATCTTTTTGACAGCTCCGGCCAAGCTTTGCGTTTGACTTGTGATAGAGTTTGGCCGCGTTTTGAAAATGGGGTGGGATAAAAAAGCAACGGAGACAGGGTTTGGGCGTTTGGGAGAAGGCAATAATTCTGCTCTGCTGCGGTGTCGATCATTGGAAAGGGCATAGGTTGGCGAGTCGCTTTCTCATCCGGCCCCTGCTCCTGTTTGCTCGTTTGGGTTCCCCGTAGCGGTCGTTGTGGGCACCGGTGAGGGTTATTCTGTCTTTCTCTGGATATCGAGGAATCAATTCGCGGGCGGTCTCAATGCAATGGATGCATACTGTCGGATTTGGCATAATCAAAAACTGGTTGAAGACTTCTACATTTGGTTGACAAGACCGGGTTGGCCATACCGTCCTCTGCTTTGAGGCCCTCGCGAACAACCCCTGCAACTATTTTTCGTTTCTTGCAGCAGTGACAAGTCAGTTAATGCGGAACCCGATATGCCGGGTTTTCGCTGCAAGCCGCAGGCCGCAAGCGGACGGAGGCACGAAGGGGGCGGTGAGGGAAAAAGGTCTAGGCCCCAGCTCGAGTTGGACAAGGTGGGAAACGACAGATCTATCGGGATACAGCGTGGCTTGATAGATGCCAGAGAAAAGGTGTATTTCCCAAACGTGATTGGGTGGGATGGAATCTGTTCTCGACATTTGCCTGCATTGAGCTGAGCGTTGTCACCTCCTCCTCCCCGCAATTCATGGTGGCGATAAGCCAGAGCTCTTCGTTGTGATGGAGACAAAACGAACAACGAACAGCCGGAGCCACTAACATGATGGATCATGGGCAAGTCTTCACTGGCCTTTGCGGTCTTTTTTGTTCCTCTCCCCCTTGCACTTGCATCTAGTGGGCTCAGTGGGCTGGCGAACTGCGCTTTTCCAGGCCCCCGCCAGCTTGCGCCGGTAGTTGTTGAAGTGGTTCGGAAACGTTCCCGCGGCGTGGCCGGGGGGCTAGAGTTGAAGGGCCCTATTCCACTTTGGCACATAGTCTTAGGATGACACCTAGTACCTTAGACCGCTTCTGCGCATGGCGCATGATGGGTTTGATATTGACGGGTTTCTGCCCCAGTATGGACAGGATGAAGTATGAAGAAGGGCGCGTCTAACGGGTGGGGGCGTTCAATATTCTTGTTCCTCTAGAAAGCCTGGAAGGTGACCACTAGGGGCCGTAGATGATCAAGGGATGGGATGGACAACTGCAGATCGAGATGCGGAGAACGGCACGGCGGCGAGGCAGCGGGCAGTGACTGAGCGAGTGCCCTTTTGCGGCCGCAGAAACCGAACTGGTGGGCACACTGAAGAGTCGCAGGACTGGTTTGCCAAGGCCGCGCGCCGTTGGTACGATGTTCAATGCGTGATACTAGGCGTAATCTTTGGAGACAGACTGAGAGACATGGTGGAAGTAAGGGCGCACGGCAATTGTTGCTTCTCGGCGTCGTCTTGTCTCTCGGTGAGGGGTTGGTAGGGTTGTGTCAGTGTGCCTATAATCAGAGAGCTCGTGAGTGGCTAGGCGAGAACGAGCTTGGCTGGTGAGGAGGTAGGTACTTTGAATCATCATGTCTTGGAGCCCGCGTTGAGGTGGACGCGCGAGGTTACGAAGTGTGGAAGTGTGGTTGAGCAACTCTCAGTCATCAACTACGTCAACTGTCTCGATATCTCGAAGACCCGCATAGGAGGGCCAAGCTCGCACGCTTGCGCACGTTCCCTTGTCGCAACGCCCACCGTTCGATAGATGGCTAGGGAGACATCGCAAGTCTACTAACTTGGAGGATTTCGAAGAATGTGGTCTCGGGAGACACTCATAGTGCGATGTTAACAGTGAATCCATCTTATCAAACTATGATTGGCAAACTGCTGAGTCCGGCCGAACATGTTGCGCTTCCAAACAGTCCGTGTTCAACTGGAACACTTTAGTCTCTAGGGTGTAGAAAGCAGCACCATCAACGTCACGATCGCGATTCTGTGTAGATCGCCGCGTGGTTGTTATTCATCCCTTACCGCCGAGAGATCTTCAAAACACATTGGACACAGCTAAGGCCGCCCTTGCCAGAGCCGGTGGCAAATACTCATGCCTGGATGGTTCCCATCGTCACGGCCCCGGGGTCCCGCCGTAGAGAGTCGCTTCGCACGGACGGGGCCGGCGATTCACGGCCGGGGACTTTATTGACGGAATAGAGGGGCAGAGGGTGGGAGCGAGAGGGGTTGAACACAACAATTACCAGAAACTTGGAGTTATGCCGTCGCTACCGAACAAAACGATCAGCTTGGCACAGAGCCTCTGTCTCCAAGTCTCCAAGTGGCGAGTACTGAACATGGAAGACGCTTGATAAGATCTCAAGGTGTGGTGGACCGCATCAAGTCTGGATGCTATCTTTGGTGCATCAGTTGTCACTCTAGGGCCCTAGGAGAACAATGCCCCCCTCGACTTCCAATTCTCACTCACTTTTCCCATCTCGACACTGACCACATTGCCCATTGCGTCGTTTTCGTTCCGCGATTCTTTAGTTCGCTGACTCGCCGTCCAATCAAGGCCTCAGATCGCTCACCCAACCAGCGACTCTGCCGTCTTAGCTCGGAGAGGGGGGACTCTTCGATGACAGAAAGTCCCGATTGCACATGGCCGCCCCGATCTCCAAAGACATCACCGGCGCTCAAGAGGGCAACGACGTTTACCTAGTCCCGCCCATCCCTTCCGGCTTCTGCATCCGGTGTTGCGAGCTTACTAGCTTTTTGCCTTTCCAAGGAACTGGACGACAGGCCTTGTTTCGGGCAAAGATCTTCGGCGTGGCAGAGAAAGACACAAGAGACTAGAAGGGGCCCACGGAAAGACATCAGCACGCGGTTGACTCCAAGTGAGACTAGCAGTATGTCTGCGAACGAGAGACACTTTGCCCGTTCCGTCTTACATCGAGATCTTGAGAGTTCAGGTTATGGACGATGGATGGGAGAAAATGGGGCCCGCGACGTTCAAGGTGCCACACTCACCGCAAGCTATTGGAGGCGTCGGCCAAAACTCAACTACGGTACGAGAAAATCATCAGTGGATAGGCTCCATCGTTCGTCAGTAGCGCTTCCTATCGTGCCATATCGTGCCATTGTCTCTGCCATGTCTCAGTCACTAGCCGCAAGGTTCGAGATCTACGATCCTTGAACACGCGAGGTCAGAACGGTGCACAAGATTGCCGAGTGATTAACGTGCACCACAGAGATGCAAACGAACCGACGGGGCTATGATGGCTTCACTCTGGGAGCTTATAGCGAAGAGTATTATCTCAAAATATCGTGATCTGTCTGCCAGCCTCATCCCTAGACGCTCCAAGACATGAGGGTTCAACCAACGCTTACACGTATGTCCGCCGTCACACGATGAGGGATATCCAGCACCAGCACCAGCGTTCGAACGTTAACTGCCTCACCATACGCGTACCTGAAGACCTTCTCTGCGTCTACCTAAACCCTCGAGCGTTTCTGAACCCTACTTGCCTATGCACAGCCCCCTCTGACAGCCGCCGTCTGATGTTTTCCAACAACGCCATGAGGTCAAGAACCCGAGCCGCTTCCGAGCCCGGTGTCAGCCATTCCCGCAGCGACCCCTCCAGGGCTGACCAATGGAAGGCCACAGAGATGGGCATCCCGAGGGTAAGGTATCGTATGGCATTGACCAAAAGTTGAAGCCGGCCGGGAATGAGAAGCTGAAAAGGCCGCCTTGACGATCATACTGCGGTGGCTTGCGTGGCTGGGGGCAGAAAGCTTCGAGGCAATGGATGTGGACGGGGCGGTGGCTTGAACCACAGAGCTACACACGTTTTGATAGTTTTTTGATATTGGGGAGCACGGCAGTTCATCATCTGCCACAAAACGCCCCTCCCAGCAGTGCCACCTTACCGATATTTCGCTGAAGACGGCACATTTGAAAAGAAGGCCCGTGTTGGCGAGTATCTAACCTCTTCCAAGCATAGCCTCATGATGAAAGGGCCACACACCCCAAGCCGGCCCGCCCGCTGTCCACGTCGCTTGCCATTGTCAATAGTCTCGTATCCGTGCCCCGAGCTAAGACGATTCATGGATCACGGGAAAGGGCCCCATAACCGAAAGAAATAACCCGACAGGGTCCCCTCTTTCTCTGTGTTTCCAAGTCCAAGTGGCTCGACACCAACTAAGCGAAGGACGGCGCACGGTGCCGCCTCTTCCTCTCTTAGTCTTTACCAAGCCTTGCTCATCGCACTAGACTAGGCAGGTTGGCACGGTTGTCTGTTGGCTTCTTGGGGTGGGGGGCACGACGACTGGACGCCCTCTCTGGCACCTTGGGCGTCTTGGGAAAAGGGACCGGGAGCAGTCGGTTTCTCTAGCGGGCGTCGAATGATCTAAGCGCTTCCGCGCCGGCTGGCGGGCGGCTTTTGTTGCGAGCGGCCCCCCCGCGTCGAGAGACGGCGTCGAAGGAGCTTCTTCCCCACTCCGCGGTACCCACTCCGTGCGGCCGGAGAGGGCGGAGCCACACCCAAATGGCTGGGAAGAGATGAGGGATTGTTGCTGATGTGGCTCAGGCAAAGCCGTTTGCGGTCACACGGGAACTTACCGTGCTGTTCTACACACCAGTCGCCAAAAGGTGTGAAGGCCACAGAGGTCTAGGCCTGCCTTCATAGACACACGAGACAGAGAATCACTTGCTATGGGCGGGGGGATGGGACGCTAGCTTTGGTTCCGTGTGTGTGTCACTGGCTGCGGCGCCAAGAAATGAAGGTGCTTTAGCATCGGGCGTCATCAAGATGGGTTCGGGGACGGGGAGCCATCATCATGGGAGGGAGCACGGGGCGATGCACGGAGAAAACAACGTCTGCGGGAGCCTGGAAGGTATCTCGATGCCTGCGAAAGGTGGTATAGCACGATGGGTGGTAGCATATTGGCTCTCGTATGAGCTGTTGAAGCTGTTAGAGAAGGCCACTGTGGGACTATAGTAGGCAGCGTGGTTGCTTAAGATCGACCCCGAGTTTGCTTTGTAAGTGCCGTCTGGTGTTTCTGTGAGGCGGACAAATCGTTTCTGGCACACCATCTTAAAATGATGCGACAGTTGGCTGGAGTAAGTGTCTGGAGCCGCGAGGTGAGCAGTGCACTTTCACACTTCTGGGAGACTTTCCTCCCCTCTTTACGCAAGAGGAAGGGCAAAGCTTGGGATGGACTTGGATAGACCTTGATGTACGTGGCCGGTCCCATGAACTATGGAGAGGATGACGATGTTCGTTCCCATCCGCTTGGATGTGGCTTGAGAAGAGGACCCCTATGCCCTGCCAATATGTCGTAAGGGCTGTTAAGGAGAGGCGGCGTTGGCACGGACCGCAGATATTCACACAAATCTCCATACCATGACGCCAGACGCAGAGGCCACGAGTCTGAGAGCCTCATTTGAGTCATCAAGCAGCAGTATTTCCACTATTATGGCCGAGAACCATACCGTTGGTGAACCGCGGGATCCTGCAAGCGCACGGCGACCTATTGTGGTCAATCGTGTTCACGGCAGGTCGTCATCTGCCATCAAGGGCCGTGATTGACTTTCAGGAACCATCACGTTCGACGTGAACTCTGGCACAAAATGTATTGAATGGCAGGGTCCTTTTCCCCGTGCGCGCGTCGAGGAGAAGAGTTTGGGCCACCATGACTCGTCTCGTCATGGTGCGCTTCTTGCGCTTCGCTAGGACCACGCCGTCACGGCGTGGTCATATCCGACGGTTAGTGTGTCACGGAGTGAGGGTATCCAAACTCTGTTCTCTCATTGCTCGAAGTTAATGGTGGTGAGATGGAATTATGAGATGGATTGAGTTGTAGATGGTGGCAGATGTTTTCGCTTTCTTGCAAGCACGCGTTCGTCGCGGAAGGCGCCGAAGTCGCGTGTTTGTAGATTTAGGAGGATGATGGTGTTTGGCTTGGCATGGTCTTGAGCGCAAGCAACGGGAAACTCTACACTTTTGTTATGAAAGACATGTTGGTCGTATGTTAATGTTGCTGTTGCCCCTTGGCCACGATCCCTTGATGAGCGGTCGCATCCGTTACGTCCTGGCTTTCTCGCGGCGTGATAAACGCGTGATGTTAACACTAGCGGCGTCTAGGTAAGGTGAGAGAAATTGAGAAGATGTTATGGGCCCCGAGATTCTGCAGGGAGAGGAAACGATCGCGATGGAGGCGCGATGGTTCGGCGATGGTATCGTTTCGTTTGGTGAGAAACTGACTCGTTCGCCCGGCGCCGGTTCGTGAGATCTATCTTGGTTCCTGATCGCGGCGCAGCCAGAGACGGCGTTGCGAAGCGTCGCAACAGACCTCGTGGCATAGTATGTCGCTTCACCCGCTTCATCCGTTTGCAGCGGTCGGAAAAAAGGTTACACCATGGACGATGGGACCTCAGCCTGCGGGCGTCTTTGTCAGCGTGGTAGCAAGCGCACTCTGAAAGTTTGGCTTTCTGGTTTGGGTGTAGGTAGGGAAGATGGCAGATGAGAAACATCGTTTTCGGAAATCCGAGAAGGAAAAATTGCTATGGCGGCGGTGGTGGCTGACCTTAACCTCCTCCCGCGTCCGTCAACTCCACCGCCATCCAGGTTTTTACGGCCGGTCGGAGTCGGGTAAGCTTTTTAGTGGGAACTGGGGCTCTCCATACCGACGTCAAAAGGCTCGCGGTCTACGGCCTTGCTCCGTGCTCGTTCGGCACGATGGCCGGCGTTCGGTTGGAAGTTTCGTGTGAAACGTGACCGTCGAGGATAGGGACTCCCGTTCTCTGTTGAATCTTCTTTTGACTTTGAGGTCAACGTCCAGGAGCGACCTCGGACAATGGACAGGGCTGGCTGTCCTCGTGATGAGCTTTTGGGAGACTTCGGCCCACAAGGCCGAAATAGGAGAATCTCGGGAGAGAGAAAGACAGAAGATGGGGACTCCGCGGAATAAGGTTGAGTTTTCTCTTCCCACACTTGAGATAGCTTCCGCAGTGTTGAGACATTGACAGGTTGCTGGGGGTCCTTTTTGAGTTATCATGCACTTCTTCTAGAACAGGGTCCGGTAGCAGGACCCGGCGAGGTCAAGGATAGATGCCTTTGAGTTGCGAGAATGGATTCTGGGAGGTCAGGCTGGTTCGAAACATCCCGTCGTGGTCTGTCTCTTACAATGACATATTTGTCTTCGAGGTAGGCAGGGCTTGTTCGTGAGGTTTGTCGGGAGCTTCTGTGTTTCTGCGACGCACGGGAGCCATAGCTGATACTCGTTTGCGACTCCTTCCGGCGGCCATGGGATGAATCTCTTACCCGTCTCATTGATTTCTTATTTGTTTTGAGATGAGGATGAACTCAAGGTCTGGACGAAGCGGACCAGATGGACCAAAAGGGTTTGTGTTATCGTTATTTACATACCATTCCATCTTTCGATCTATCGTCGCGGACGTCGGAAGTGTCAGAAGAGACCAAAAAGGGAGTTGCGATGTCGGATGCTCGATTTACGTAGGGCTGGCCGCATTGATACCATCTTTCAGCAAACATGAAACTATTACTATTACGATTTCAGAACCATGAGCTTAAGTCAATCAAGCATTTCTTGGAAAAAGCGAAGAAGAGGTGTTCATGAAAGAAATAACACGGTAAACCTGATTACTTGCACCATGAATAAGCACGCAGTAACATCTGCGAATAAGCCTCCTCATCAAACCTTCGAATTGTTTCCTTGATTCCCTACGGACATCCTCTTTTCTCGGATCCGGATTGTCAGGCACAGGTTCTTGACGTCCACCGTGCGCGGCCACACAACCTTATCTTCTTCCATCTCGTCTGTTCAAAACTTTGGCATCATGCCCTTGACGAGGCGGTCGCCTAATCACTTGGCTTGATCGGACCCCCAGGCACCGGGGACTGGGTCACCACGGGCCTGCCTGGGACCGGCTTGTCCGGAACGAGGGGTCCACCGGGGATGGGTTTGTCTGGGATTATGGGGCCGACAATGATATCCTCGTTGCAGGCTTTGAGCGCCGCGATGATTGCTTCGTCCAGGTTCCAAATCTCAAAGGGCGGGGTGTTGCTGTAGATGAGAAGGAGACTCGTGAGAGTTGCGCGGAGACTAATTAGATCAGATGGCTTGCAAGAGCCAATCTCGAAAATTTGACGCTTCGTATTCGTGGTTGGGCTGAATATGGTCGTTGCTTCGCCCAGGGTGATGGTGTCTACTTCCACTCCCTTGCTCGCGAGGATGTCGGCCATGTGTAGGAGGACCACATAAGTTCCGAAAGAGGGTTTGGTCCCATGAACAATGGGCTCCAAGAGAGTGAAGTATGTTTCTTTGAGGGTATTGAGATCTTCCGCACGCTCAGCCAAAGCTTGCGATAGTCTCATAGGAGTGTCTAGGTCATTCTCATGTTATCAACTTAGGCACCGAAAACGGCCGTGGTCGTAGTACGTACCTGACGAAGACAATTTGCGCTCGAGAAAAGGCCCGCCAAGCTGTGTAGGAAGTTAGGAAGATTCAGACTGACATCAGGGGCACCTCAAAGTGGGCATGATCAAGCATAGAGAGGGACTTCTCTTACATCACGCTTACCAGGCTTGACTTCCGGGCTGTCAGTAGGAGGAAGCAGGATGGGGCCAACTGGGTTAGGTGAGGTAGCTCCTCCACCAGGGACGAGAATTGTAGAGCCACCTCCTATTGCGAATTGAGGCGCGGCGTTGCTCATGGCCAAGAGGCCAAGCAAAACTATGGCGTAAGACGCCATGATGAGCACTATAAGGATTTTCAGATGGGTTCTATCATATCATTGCAATACGTACCTACTTAGTAGTCTGCTAGGAGCAGCAAACAGGCGATAGTGGGGTTTTATAGGCAAAAAACCCCATGAAAAGGAATGTAGAAACGTCTCCTTGCGATTCACAACGGAGTCGAAGAAGTTAGCCCATGTGCTAAATATATGCATGTTATTGGGCAGTTAATAAGAGAGCATAGCGGGAAAAATGAAGCAGCAAGTGCCATTTATCCAAACACTTAGAATCTGATACACGCTATTGAGCCATTTTAGCCGAATTTATAAACTGCTGCCAGATCACACGGATAAGTTGAATATCTGAATTGTGGCTGAGCTATCAGCTATCAAGAGACATTCCTTTGGGATTACGGAATCGCATGTCCGCGAGCAATTGAATAATGGATATTTGGGTGATGAAGCCTCAAATGTTGGCAGCACCAGTGACTCGTATACACGTTCAAATAATCCTTGATGCGCCAGGGACGTGAAGCTCCTTGATCAAGAAGGATTAGAAAAGACCAGTCGCTTCCCATCACACATCGAGGCCATGTGTGGCAAACACCAGGCCTGGTAGAAACCTCCATTCTGATTCAATGTAAGAACAACTTAAATGAAGGAGCCCATTGGCCCAATGCCTGGCGGAGCATCGCCTCCCAAGATCGCATCGATGGCGTTGAGATCGCCGGGGTCAAAGAATTCAAAAACATCAAAACCTGCGGGTCCCTCGAAGAGGGAAGGGTCAAAGACGGGCATAGTATCACTGTTTGGCGGGCAGTTTCCGTCATCAACATTGCTGATGCCTACAGCAGGCGCGTCATGTGATACTGTTTGGTCCTGCCGAGGAGTATTTGGCGCATTTGTTGAGCCGGGCCCGTTCTGCTCATTCATGGCGTTGGTGCAGACTTGGTCTATCTCTTGGATCACTTGTTCCGCTAAATCGACCATGACCTGGGCAGACCTGAACATGCTGCTCATTCCACGTAGTGTCTTGCAGGTTGACTGGAGCTGTCGTCGCGATCTCGCTGTCAACATTGGCACTTTGGATGATCGTAGTTCTCGATATGCGACCCGCAGGGATAGAGATACGGCGTATGGTACGAAAGTCATGTGCGATACCGTGTTGCCGAAGTCCTCAATGATGGTTGTGATCTTCATAGCGGATAGAGCTTGTCGGTTGAGTGCCAGCGAAAGGTGCTCAGATCTTGTTGAACCAACGGGAATCCGGCATGATAGTATGCCAATGCCATGATAAAGAAGTTCCATGGAAGCTGTGACACAATCAGCTTCATCCAAGACACCTTGAAGTTGGAATAGACTTACCCAACAAACGAGATTCAACACCGAGAGCCTTTGACTTTTCGACGAGGCTATCAAAGCTTGGGAAATCCTCCATGACAACGCAGCCTGTGTTCTTTGCTGCCGGGCGATACAGGTCGATGATGCACCCGAGCAAGACCACAATCTCGAGAAACAGTCGGAAGCAGTGGTCTTGCTCTCGAATACACTCCACCATGTCGCGCCCCAGATCTCTTTCGTGTATCATCACCGGCCGCCCATGGAAAGCGGCGTTGAGCTGGTCCATGGCCCAAACACAACAGAAAAGCCGGGTCAAATAGGCCGGATCCTCCGACCTGGCCGGCGGATTTTGGAGGTGAAGTCCCACAGTTTGGGCATTGCTTACGGCCTGTGCCGCTAGCTCGGCAGACAGATGGCGGTCTGACGAGAAGTGAGTGTACAGGGAGAGAATCACCATTATGGCGACGGCTTGGACTCGGTCCTTGACAAGGCCGAGGGTGAGTGCTTTCCGGATGGCAGAGGAAAGGCGGAGGGCGAATTCTGAGTAGCTCAAGACGGCCGACGAGCCTTGCCCGAGTGTCAAGTAGGGTCTGGCGCTCGGATTTGAGCCGGCAGCTAGGCATATGGCTTGTCTGCAGAGAACCTGGGATATTGTTGATGTTGGTGCCCGGAGTATGTCGAGATTCATGACGGGTAGAATCCGGTGAACATCTCGAATGTAGATCTTTTCGAGGTGTTCATAATACTCCTTTTCCGGTAACACAGCGAGAAACTGGTGTGCTTCATAGTCTATCGAGACTGCCGATGCAAGTTCTGGTGTGAGGCTATCACCGTTGTTTCTACGAGAATACCACACGCCGACGGCGTTGGATTCGGCATGACCACGACTGGTTGCTGGACTATCGGCTAGGAATGCACCCTCTGGATTCAAGTCACCTACAAACCTGTCGTCATTGTGGTTCGAGTGGGGATCTGTTGGTTGGGCCTTGTCTTCAGGAGTTGAGATATGAGTTGTTGAGTCTATCGCTTGAACTGCTGGGCTCTCAATGGGAACCACTGCTGTCCTGACCGAAGGTACTCGGCCATGAGCAGGAGTTTCCGCGTTGTTATTGTTGAGTCGTATGAGTCCTCCCCGAGGATGTGCGTGACTGGAACGACTCCGAGGCTGCTCAACTGGAAACGTCGAGTTCTGGGCAGGAGGTTCCGAGTTTGCAACATGATTCGAGTCGGCTGTCTGATCATCATCGCCGGCATCGTCATCATCGCCGCCAACGATCTCTCCACCCGAACCACTGTCCGCCTCTACAGTTGGCCTATGATGAAGAGACGGATCCATTGGCGTTACGGCCACATCATCCGGCGAACCATCCTCGGCGGAAGTGGCCGGTCCTGATGGATGGCCCCGTTTCCTCCAGTGAACGCCGTGCGGAGGCGGAGACTCCCCTTCGCCTAGTGGATGAACACATCGTTTCTGTACATCCGTCAATAATCTGTTCTTCAACCAGAAAGGGAAGGTATCGCGGCGAGACCGCACTCCGATTGGTCACCAATCAGGCATCCCGAATGGCACCCAGCAAGGACCAAGGTCCAAGTCTGTCTCTCTTACGACTTCGACTGCAGGGGAACGGGTAAGATGATTGACTCACTTTTCGTCTACGACAAGTATCACACGCATGTAGCGCAATTTTACGCTTTTGAACGGGAATGTTCGTGGTGTTGACAAACTTTAGCTTGAGCATTCTGTCGGCGTGAAGATGAAGACCTGGCGGGCTTGGGTTTGTGTGGCGGCGGTTCACAACACATCGACTGGCGGGGCTGCCGGCATTACGGCGATCGGACCAGCCCAAAACGGAAAGGCCGATGACGTACCGCTGAAGACCAGTTCGTCTCCAAGATCACACACATATGAATTATTACGTCTACGTCTAGATCTCTCCTAGGTAAGGTTTGGTAAGTTCCGATCATGGTAAGCTTATCTTAATTAAAGGTTTGAGATGGTGCAAGTATATTGCTAAGTGTTTGCTGAGTATGTGTCGGATTTTACTCAAGGCCCCTAAAGCTATCCAGAATCACGCAAACATGGGCCAAATATTTCCCAAAAGTTTATCAACGCCGATTCTCTACAAACACTGAACCGGAATGTCAGTACTCATCTTATATCATTCCCGAGAATTTGGAAGGTACTTACGCAGCCCTCGAAACCACCTTCGCCACAAGGGGTATCCTCCGCTAACATGCAGTCTCCTCTCCAAGTGTGTCGGTCTCCCCCTTCTGCTGCACTGCAGCAAAAGGTATTTCGCTCCTAAGTAATAATGATGAAAATGAGTAAGGGCTCTTGCATTCACACAATGTGCAGTGGTGCCATCATACCGGGTAAAGCGCTTTGCAACTCAGATGATTAGCCTGTTTTCCATAGTCGGTACACCACCAGGCATTAGCCGAGCCCAAGAACAGGGCACTGGCGGGAAGGAGAACGGCGGTGAACTTCATGATGTACGACTGATGATGATGGAAGTAGGTATGAAGAGGTTGGCCAGAGATTTCTGGTTTCAATTAAATACTTTACTACTTACTTTATCACAGGATAAGGTAGAATTGCAGACGCTCCGCTGTTGACTAGTTCGTATGCAATAACTTCGTGTGTCGCATTGACTTTCCAGGTCATGATTACAGTATTACTCGTGCTGCGCAGTTAAGATAGGGAGGCATCTGTCGATCTACTCTTCGTCTACGCGAGGGGGTATACTGCATTACTCATGGCGTCTGACAAGCGTCCCGCCTCTGTCCGTGCCCAATTTATGTGTATCCTCTTACTAGGATTGCACCGAGTCATATCTCACTCGAGAAGGATCAGACAAGATGGATTTGACAAACGTAAATAATTTGTTGTTGTCAGTGCCCTTTCGGAAGGAGGTTCGTAAGGGCAAATTAGGGGGACACAAGCAACAAAGGAGCAGCTCGGATATTTATAATCACGCAAGGAGTCCACAGTGATATATCTCATCACGTAAGGAGCATACGTCTATTCATGGGAGAGATTTCAGTAATTTTGACCCCAACAGCCTGGCAGTTAGCCTCTGGGGGCGTCCACCCTACGTCACACGCATATTGACAGTCATCCTGAGTCAGAGTGAATACTAACTTACTCTAACCAGAAATGTCCTGAGGTCCTAGGTATAGGAATCAAGCCTGTACCGAGTGAGATCTGGAAGAAGGCCACTGACTAAAATCACGTTATCACACGCTCGGAATTTCGAGTACTATGTTCGCGATCAAATAGGGAGGAATCATCTGCGTCTATGAGGACTTTAAAACTGTGGTTGTGAGTGATTGGTTCCTCGTTTTCGGTAAAGATCTGTTGTGAAAGTCACAAGCCAGCGGAAACGAGGTCTTCGTAAGCGGCGAGTCCGTAAAGGTCCCACATAATAACCGAGAACACTCTATTTTACTTTTCCCTTCACCTATAGGCTACGGCTGCCTTGTTGATCTTTGATTGTCTCTTGTCGGGGCTGGGTAGACTTGACCGGATTCGTTAGAAAGGGCATGTCCTTTGATGAGATTGATATATATACGGAAGAGATGGTAAAAGGAGGCAGAACATTTAAGGTCTTGTAGTATGTAGATGAGTAATTTGAGGAATATTAAGGCCAGACCGACGCTTTTGGCCCGGCGAGGTGGCCGGGTAACCGGCATCAACTGAATGAGTCGTAAATGGTGCTGTAAGATTCTGTACGATCACGACCTCTGCCTGCAAATATCAAGAATAGTAGCGTTGCATAAGTAGTTCGGAACGTGCGGCCCTAGTGATAATCTCTTACAAATTTGCGTCTGTGACCACTAAGTATACGACTTTATGGAGTTCAAGTATTCTAATCACCCGATCTCCAATGAAGTTATTCTTCGGGTCTTTTGCTTTGCTGGAAAGAGGAAGCCGGTCAATCAAACACCCGATCACATAGGTACCTAAGGTAGCTTCAGCAAGACTCAAGTCGCGGAATTATTCGTTATTTTGCAAAGCTTGATCTTGGATAGGTCGGACTCAATCTTCAAAGAGAGATATACTAGTAGGCATTCTGCATGATCATCTTTATCAAGTCCAGGTCTTCCCGAGCATCCACGGCCGAGGTCTTCGGGATAGTCTTCTTCGTTACACAAGAGTAAAAATCCAAGAACTCAAGCGTGAAGGGATCCTCATACGTTTTTCTGACAATTTTCTCTTGGTAGCCGTCACCTTTGGCGGTCTCGATTTTCTCCCTGATGGTCATGGTAATAGGAAGCCCCTTAACGTACGGAGTATCGTAGTCAACGCGCACAATCTTCTCTCGCGAGTAGATCTCGATGTGAGCGTCAAATCTGGGTACGTCGATGATACCTGACTCGTACATGACGGGGAAGCCTTCGTATTGGAACAACACGCTCCAGATTGGCAACCCAAGAGAGGCACCCACAACTCGTGAGGGCATGCCGACCATCTCGCGCAGCGCAGAGAAGTCATGTACTCCAAGTCTATCAGATAGACGTGATGGGTCAGCGAGAAGGAAACTCTTCTTTCGGGTCGGCTCTGCCGAGAGATGTGACCTACCCTGTGAACAACCTGAACATTGTCATTGACCCTGGCGTTGCGTCAATCCCAATTTCTTTGATGAGCGCCGTTTTGACCATCTCTTCTTCGGTAGACTTCATCTCTGCCGTATCTTGCTTCGGGTAGTCGGTGTATTTCTTGGGGAATGTGCCAGATTGGTCTACGAAAGAGCTATTTTGCCCAATGATATCTACAGTATCTATTGTCAGCTTGGTCTCTAATCTTCAACATGTCAAACAGTAACATACCCCTGACGCGAATGTAATCAATCTTTTCCATCCCTCCCACTTCCTTCACAGCATCGAGGAAAGATTCGGCATATCGCCTCTGGTATCCGACAAAGACCTTCGCCTCAGAGGTCTGCTCCGCCGCGATGATGGCATCAAGGTCGCGGTAGTTCAAAGCGAGAGGCTTCTCTACGAATACATACTTGTTGTGCTGAAGAGCTAGGATCGCTTGTGAAGGATGGAATGCGTTGACGTTGCAGATGACCACAACGTCCGTATCGGGAGAGGTAATCAGCTCTTCAGCATTCAATGTCGTCTTGGGTGACCCGCCAGCGACCTTTTTCGTGCAGAGGTCAAGGGCTTGCTGAGAGACATCGGAGATGTAAGTGATCTCAAAATGAGTGGACAAACTGTTTAGCACAAGAATATGGGACACCTGAATTGGTGAAGCTTTAGTGTCTGCGGAAAAATGGATTCAAATGTAAGACAAACCTGCGCGAGCTCTCCCAGACCAATGATTCCGACTTTGAGAACCTGGCTGAGCTTGGTCCCGTTTGTTACTCCGACCATCTTGAGAGGCGGCGAAAGAGCTAGGCTGAAAGGTTTACTGCAGGCGGCCAGATTGAAGCTGGTTTGTTTTGGTCTCCTCTACAAAAGGACAAGTCATACAACATTCGACAACATATAAGCAACACAATCAATCAAATGTGCTTCCTCGATGCTGAAGACGCAAGGCTCAGCTCTCCTGGAGGCTTTCGAGGACCTGGAGCCTCGCTCCAAGTTTCCAAAGGATTACGCGTCGCGGTCGCCATTATCCGATGGATTAGAGAAAGATAGACCTACTTTAGGCTCCGGACAAGCGGACCGTCTGATGAAATCATAAAGATGTCCCAAATGAGACCAAAGCGGCGTAATGGACGAAAGATCTTTTCATCTTACGCGCGCTGGAAGCTGCATTGTGACGGCGCATACAGCTTTGTGGTACCTTACATGGAGCCCTTTGCATTTCTACTGGAACGGCAAGTGTTGCATCTTACATCAGCTAAGCACCTTCAAATATGCAAAACTTCCATATCCGGTCAAATCCTACAACTGAGGGGCGCGCCACCGTCTTGAAGCAGGCGGCCCGTCGACTCCGGCCCCTGAGCCTGAGACGTCCCGTCCGGAAAACGGGAAGGATCGCGAAGGATCGCGAAGGATCGCGAAGGGTAAAGTCGAAATCATCAGCCTACATGAGCCCTGAAGATACAGCCGGAAGGATTGGCGGGGTTTGCATGATACTTCGACTTTCCTCTTCCGCTACCGACCGCGGTCATTAGGCCAGACGGCCTGGCGAAGAATGTCCCTTCTCCAAGCACCTCACGATAGTGTCAACGAACAACCTCTTCTTTGCCAAACATACACGTTCTCGATAAATCTGATTCAAAGAAATGCCCCAAGCCTGGCGAGTTTACCTGTGCGGCGCTGGCTCAATTGCATGGCGACATGGCGTTGCGGCGGAAAGCCTGGGCGACGATGTTCAGCTTTTTGCTGCAGACCCCTCGAAAGATGCTCGGGAAGCATTGCTCGCCAAATTACCCAAAGCTACTGTCTATGAAGATGTAGAGACAATGCTCGCCAGTTCCCCAGGGCAAGAGCGCGACATAGTCGTGGTAGCCGTGCCTCCATTCCTGCACCACGCAGCAACACTACGCGCGTTTCGATCCAACCGCCATGTTCTCTGCGAAAAGCCGCTGGCAACATCCGAGAAGGAGATGAATGAGATGTTAGCCGCTAGTGCTGAAGCCAATAGAGTCTTTGGAGAGTGCAGCTTTCGATATCTCGGAAATAAAGCTTTGGATCGCGCCCGCCATTTGATCGAGACGGGTGGAATAGGGTCTATCTATCATGCCCGCTTTATCAACCGCCAGCCAAGAGCTCGCGCGGGAATCGAGTATCAACCGTCGAGCAGATGGTTTTTGGAGAAGGAGAAGTCTGGCGGCGGCATCGTATTCGACTGGGGCGTCTACGATGTCACCATGTTCTTCGACGTCCTCCGCCCAGTCGCTGCCACGGTCAACCATGCCTGGCTGGCCACGCCAACTACCAGTGCTGACCCATCTGGGACAGTCATTTCTGTCGAGACACATGCTGGCGCGTCTCTGACTTTGAAGCTTCAGGACGGCACTGTGATCCCATTCTACTGGGAGCGAGCAAGCGGTTTCCATGGAGACGCCCAGGTCGCTCTGAGTATCGACGGCACGGCTGGTGGTCTGACATGGGAATGGGTCCCGACTTTTGACTACAAGGATGAAGTCGATGAGCTAGAGCAAGGCTTCAAGCTGGTGCACTATATCGACAACAACGGCAAAGTAGAGGCTAAGGAAGAGAAGTTTCCTGCTTTCGGGTGGGAGGACGCGAATCAACGCCCCTTACTGTCCTTTGTCGATTTAATCGAGGGACGCGACAGCGTTGCTCTCTCCAGGAGCAGGCTCGAGTTCAATTTTGGTGTCGTATCAGCTATCTACAAGTGTGCCTCCGAGGGCAAACCCGTTCATGTTCAATTGAAGTAAATCAGGGGGCCAGATATTTGGTTTAGACACCATTAATGCAACATCGAACAACCGCGAGTACTTACTTGAGAGATCTATGGTTGGATTACGTCTTGCCCAAATGCGCAACATCGGAAAGAATACAGACACCATCTAACTTTGAACATGGGGCTTTAACTTACACAGCGGGCGGCAAACTACTTTATATCACTGGAGTAAACAGCAAGACAATAATTGAATATCCTGCTCCAACAGCAAAACGCCGTCATGACTTAGGGAGGTTTTGACATGGAGGCTTTATGTTTTGTTAGATGAAGAAAATGCACAAGCAGCGAGATGTGACTAGTCCTTCAGCAGTGTGTTCCAAAAAGTATCCATATCTTCCGCATGGAATGTTTGAACCTCAATGGGGATCTCCTTTGTTGTCTTCCTGCAAATGATAAACGAGTCACATGCTTACAACCTCTCTGCGGACGTCTCCGGCGCAGCCTTTTCGCTGCTACCAGGGGTGATGGTTTGTGGACTTCCCTTTGCCTTGGAGGCACGGAATCGGAATTTAGCCTCGTTCCACCTTTTCCCGAAGCCATAACCTGGGTGGAAGATAGTCAAGCACGAGCATGCTAGTATAATCATGGTTCCGTCGAGGATCATGAACTCAACCTCTTGGTTGGCAAGCTTCCCACCGAAACCCTCGCTGAGCTCAACGGAACGGAAAACGGTTCGTATAAACAAGAATGCTGTTGCACCAAACAGTGCTTCAAACATCGTTAGCTTCATAGATCTGGTTCATGTTGACATCGACCAGGGAACATACCAAACAGGAACAGTTTGTATCTTTTGCTGTTGACCAAATCGGTAAACTCGGGATTCCGCATCTCTGGGTTCTTCTTCACGCGCCAGAGGAATTCGAGGCTGCAGGCAGTGAATGCAAACAGACAAGCAACCTGTATCGACAGGCCGGCCACAAGAATATTTGTTCCCACATCGATCTTGAAGTACCAAAGTATCAGTAACAAAGTTCAGAAGCAGTCGAAGGCATATTGCCATGACAAAGGCGGGTGAAGATTGAATGCGTACCATGTGCGGGTTGTCCAAAGGCGTAGACGCAGCAATTCCTCCCCCAACTGCCTGAACAACAAGACTGACAATGTCGCATCCCAAGAAAAATGTCGTGTATGAGCGAGGCTTGATCCGGCTAATAGCTTCCCCATTGATCACGACGATGCGCCCGAGAGTTAGGTAGATGGCTGCCGCGATGAATACGGGACCGATTGTTAGAGTAATGAGATACCACAAGAAGTAATCTCTGCTGAAAGGGTTTCCATTCAAGAGGACCCTAGCAATGTATCCAACGGTCTCTGTCAACAAGCCGAGGCAGATAGCTATCATGAAGCCCCTTGTTTTGTGCTTTATGCCGAGAAAGATCTGACCGCATGCGAGCAGGGCCATAATCACCAGAAAGAGAACATTTCCGGCGACACTTGGTCGGTAGCGGACGAAGCCCCATTGTTCAACGGAGCATGTGTCTAGAGTGCAGACGAATCCTGGAATGTAGCCTTCGGGGGCCGACATTGTGAACCGAGCTTTGTAGAAATGTTGGATCTTTGGAAACCTTGTTGAGGATAGGGTATCTCAACCTGCAGAGAAAGTGGAGGAACCCTCGACTGGACGTATTTAAAGCTATCGACGGGTTGAAGGTTCAAAGACCCGCGAAAGGGGACTGGCGATACCGGCGGATTGGTAAATTGGCCCAACACGTCTCTTGGCTCAACCCCATTGTTGGCCAACCCTTCACTTTGTTTGATAAACGATTGGATGACAGGCGAGACAAATAATAACGGCTGAGATTCCCTTGATTCCGACCTCTAGCCCAAGACTGTAGTAGGTGTATGCAAGTCGGCCCGAGACGCCTTGTGGATAATTGGGATGTAAGATTGGTGGCGCGGGGTATTCTGGCTAAATCGAATCATCCCCATGGGGGCCAGCCAAGAAGCCCACGGATCTTCGTGCCGAAAAGCTTACCACCTTTATATAAGTAAGCTGTGCTGTGCCGCGTGGCTGCGGCGTCTAGCTAGCCGAGCCGCACACAACTTGGCGAAGGCTTCGTAAACGCCATATCGAGATTGTGTAGACGCAAGTCATACATCCGTCACCCTATTGGGACCATACATTCTGCCATCTTTGGCACAATGGCACAGAAAAGGCGCGAGATGACAGATGCCGGAATTTTCGGGACCAAATCACGGCGGCAAGACTTGCTATCACATCGAAGGATCCCCTGAATCCTTCAAAACATGCATCTCCCACTAGGCAACAGTTCGGCATTCCTATCTTGGACTTATCATACGGCCTGGGCCGCGAAGGATCGCAAGTCTTCCAAAAGCGGATTTGCACTTTGGTTCAGAACTTGCCGTGCGAGACACAGCGAGCCGTCCAAAGCCGCGTTGCCGATTCGACAGTAGGCCGTCAGCTACAACCCTCAACTCCTGAACATCGATTTCTGTGATACACGAGCCTTATCTTCAGGGCTGTAGGATTCGTCATCGTAGAGGGCCTGTCAAATCTTGTTCCGATTAGCGCTCATGGTCCTACTGCCTCCTGATATTCCAGCCTGAAAAATGAGATGCCAAGTGCTCCGTGTCACTGAGGATACCTCCATGTAGGATCAAATGATGGGTAGATTTTGATTTCGCATTAAATATAAGTTTCCCCAAGCACGAATAATTGGATTGTATGAGATTTTGAAGCTCGAATACCTCGAGGAATCATTCGAACTCTCGCTTGTCGCCATCTCTTCGTCGAAAGTCTTGTTGAAGCATACCTCTTGAGGCTGTTCTTGTTTCGCTTGAAAACATGACGGAGGCATCACCTAGTCCAATTGCCATCATTGGCATGGCATGCCGTCTGCCTGGTGGCTCGGATAACCCTTCCAAACTCTGGAATATGCTTTCAGAAGGCCGGAGTGGCTGGCGTGAGATACCCGAAGATAGATGGAACAAAGATGCGTTCTATCACCCTGACCCCGAAGCAAAAGAAGCTGTCAACTTCAAGGGCCTTTACTTCTTGGACCAAGACATTACCGCTTTTGACGCGCGGTTCTTCAACGTACACCCTCATGAAGCCCACTGCCTCGACCCACAGCAGCGCATCTTATTGGAGACGACGTATGAGGCTCTCGAAAATGCTGGGCAAACCATCGCCAATATCAAGGGATCCGATACTTCTGTACACGTTGGTGCTTATGCTACTGAGTGAGTCCTTCATACTTGATGGAGCGAGAGTGCCTCTCAAGGAACATATCCGCCCAGACTGGAAGCACATTCGGTCTAATGTGTGCACTCATATAGCTTTGAACGCATGGGCTACAAGGATACAGCAAGAACGCCCAAGGCCCACATGATCGGCACAGGAATCGCAATTCTCTCTAATAGAATATCCTATGTCTTTGATCTCAACGGCCCATCAAGCACAGTTGACACTGGGTGCTCAGGAAGTATGGTAGCCTTGCATCAGGCATGTCATGGGCTCCGAGCAAGAGAATCAAAGATGGCTATCGTCGCCGGTACCCAACTTGTTCTTACCCCTGATCAGATTATCCCCATGAGCAGTGTCGGGTATGTCTCATCCCTTTTGTATGTGTGATTTGGAATTTGAACAAGAGCTGACGAGGTGGACGCAGCATGACCAATCCGGATGGTAAATGCTACGTCTTTGATAGCCGCGGTGCTGGCTACGCAAGAGGCGAAGGTGTTGTCACTCTGATTCTCAAGCGTCTCGATGATGCTATCAGAGACGGTGATCGGGTTCATGCCCTCATCCGGAACTCTGGGCTAAACCAGGACGGCAAGACAGTCGGCCTTACGCTACCCAATCCAATTGCCCAGGCGAATCTTATGCGCCTCGTGTACAAGAACGCCGGGCTAAACCCAGCAGATACCGTATACGTCGAAGCTCACGGCACGGGAACTCAAGCTGGTATGTGATTCTCACTCTATGTCCTAGCTCCAGTCTACCTCCACTTACCTCTGTTTTTCATCACGTGTATCTACCATAGGCGGACCCTAACAATGAAGCAGGTGATAACGCAGAGATATCGTCCATTGCGGAAGTCTTCTGTCCCGAAGGCCAACGCGAGAACGGTCTATATGTTGGCTCCATCAAGTCAAACATTGGCCATCTTGAAGCTTCAAGTGGTGTCGCTGGATTGCTGAAGGCCATTCTAATCTTGAAGCATGGCGCAATCCCGCCCAACATTGATTTCATAAAGCCGAAGCCTACGCTACATCTAGAAGAGCGCAAGATAAAGGTACAAGAAGCTTTTACCTGACCATTTAGACTGTTGCTGACCATGACCCGAAGATTGCTACTGAAATGGTTCCACTCCCTGAGTCTACTGGTCCCCGCCGTGTGTCTGTCAACTCCTTTGGCTACGGCGGAACAAATGCCCACGTCATCCTGGAAGCTCCAGCTAGCTACGAGAAAGCGGACAGCGTACTGGCTACAGAGAAGTCAATTGGCACCAATGGGCATACCAACGGACATGCAAATGGGCACACTAATGGGCATACCACGAAAGAAAACGGCACAAACGGACATACAGAGGTGCAAGAAATTACGTCTCCGGATCATGGCATAAACGGATCAAACGGGATCAACGGAACCAAAGGGACTAATGGACACAACGGCAAGACCAAAGACCATGTCGAGAAGGTCGACTCGGATACTGCCAACGGGAGGACCTTGTCCAATCCCAAGCTTTTCGTCTTGTCAGCTCGATCGGAGACATCTTTGCAGGCCATGGTGGCCAATCTGCGAGGATGGGTTTCTTCCCATCACGACGCCTCTTCACTTTCTAACCTTGCTTATACTCTGTCGACTCGCAGATCAGAGCTGCAATTTCGATCAAGTGTCGCAGCGGCCAGCCATGATGAGCTCATCAGCCTACTCGAACAGAAGCCTCGCATCACCAAGGCAGCGTCAAACTTCCGCTCCGTGTTCCTCTTCACGGGGCAGGGAGCCCA